CTACCCTGAACGTCAAGAGGCTGTAGAAGTATGCTGTGGTTGCCTTGGAGTTGTGTATAGATGCGAGTCTCTGGTCTTTACTTGAGCCATCCAAGAGAAGCAACTTTCAGTTCACAAGTAGGGGAAGGAAACTGCATGTCCTTAGAGCTGATTTGCTAGACTAGTTTTTTTCCATTAAATCTAGGCTAAGATTTGTTTTCATTTCAAATTTAGGCGTGTTTTTTTAAATGTGGATATACCCCCGGCCTCTGCATCTGGACGATATGCATGCATCCATTTTATTAACTATTCACAAAGACCATACAAGGCAATACATCAGTCAGCCTGAAGCCACCATCTAAACAACACATGTTGCTACTCCTATCCCTTGGGCCTAAGACCACACATCTATCACACACTATTCAACCATTTTGAGTGCAATGTAACTCAAACTGCGTCCAATGTAACATCCAAAAAAAAAACGCGTGTATCACACACATTTTAAAAATGTAATTGTGTGCCATGTCGCACAAACAGTTTTTGCAAAAGATGTGTGTGATGTAGCCTATCATTGCATAGGTTTAAAAAAACGTAAACGTGTATGGTGCTTTTGCACATGGTTTTTGCAAACAATCTGTGTGTGATGTAATCTATCATTGTATATAGAAACAACCATGTGTGATTTCCTACACACAATTTTTAATGTAGCATATCATTGCACATAGTGCTAAAAACACAGACGTGTGTGATGTGTTCCACACTTTTTTTATAGGAAAATATTTGTGTGATATAGACTGTGATCACACAAAGTTTCAGAAAAGTAACAATGTGTGATGCCTTGCATACGTTTTTTAGAGAAAAATAGTTTTCCATAGGTTTCAAGGCCAATTGACATTCGCTTCACCGTTTAACTTTGATTTTTTTTTTGTAGAGTGAGCTTGGATGGGCCCAGGTGTATATCAGAATTTGGAAATTCATGCTTACTTTGGAGTGCATGAGTGAATGAGTCTCAAATTCTCTTGGTGTTTGCTTTCTTAATCCAAACCGGAATACAATATGATGTAATTTTCAGGAGGGGCGTTTTGGCTCCTGAGAGCATTTCCTCCCAGATAAACAACACCGCAAAAGAAGTGGTCAAATGTTTTCAATAGTTTCTTAATTTTTTTTGTGGATGTTCGTGTTAGTGTCGCAAACATGCTTGAAAATTTTCGTGTAAACGGAGCAGCAGTGTTTCGTCAATGAAAAATAGAAATTTGGGGTAACATTTGGTGTTCAAATTTGGTTTTATTTTTTGCACATGCCAAAATGTGTAACCTTTTGCCTAAAACTTTGCAGGTAGTATTTGGATATGACAATAAAAACGTTTAAAAAATTGTTGGGTTTTTTACATTTAAAAAATTATTCTTTTGTGTGTAGGAGCACGTGATCTTGGGAGCCAAATTGAATTTCCGGCAATTTTCGATCATTTAGCTTGACATGTGTCGGCTGGTGGGTGTGCTTTCTGAATTCAACCGGAAGAGCCAACTGTCATGGAGTTTGGTCACATAATTTAATCTTGCTTGAGTCGCCTCTCCTATAGTAGCGGTTGTGTTTGGATAGAATAAGTTCATCTCGCTTCGGGTCCCCCTATAGCAGAGTCAGGGTGGTGATGGTTGAGTTTGGGCAAGCCCGGGCGGATGCAATCTTGTCCAAATCAGTGTTTATCGGTACCATAACAGCTGGGTTCATGGACCCAACTAGAGAGATGTGATTCAGGACCATGGTGCAGCCGAACCTATGGTCTATGCCGTACGATTTAACATCCTACTACATGTGGATCTATGACATGCATGCCAACTGCATTTTTTAATCAACCATGCATGGATCCTTATGAATAGACATGCATGCCAACTGCATTTTTTAATCAATCATGCATGGATCCTCATGAATAGTGTTTAGAAATCAATGGTGTCGAGCATAGGTTCGGCTGAACCATGGTTCCGTATAACATTTTCAGACCCAACTACCCACGAGCCACGTTCGCTCCCTGGTTAAAACTCAAGAAGACAGAAGAATTACTCATCGCAGGTTTTCCACCTCTACACCAGTGATGGTATGCAGATATTCGTCAAGAATTACATCAACAACCTCTTCAAGGAGCCCAAGCTCATAGTTTCCATCCAAGCCCACCAAAGGTACAAAAGCAAGAAAGAACCATCCGCCAACAAGCTCGGATGTCCAAGACCCAGGAACGACTATGCCCGGCAACGACCGACCCCAGCTGGCCCCCACTCAGTAAGCATGGACAGCAATCCCCCATGCATGATGCGGCTGTTCTATGCACATAGAGCTTTTTACGCCACACGATGGGAGGGCAGGCGCGCCAATAGAGGGACAAGACGTGAGGGATGAATCACCACCACACTCTAGCGCATGGTGCATACCTGTACATGGATGTGCCACGCACCACACAAGTAACACCATGGGCGGTGGTGACAAGGCATGTGTTCATTCCCGGAGCCAAGAAGGCGCAGACACTTCATCAGACATTTAATGCACGTACCTACTTGGTCGGACCTAGGTAACTTCCTTAGTAGCGAAGCTATTGTGGTATCCCTTGAGCTATAAAAGAAGGACCTAGCTACTAAAGGAAGGGGGAAAGGAAGGGAAAGAAAAAGGTTGGACACTTGGTAGAACACAAGTAGGAGCACACTACTTTTCCCTTTCCCAGGAAGGACTTGTAGCTCTCTATTCACTAAAAAAAACCACAAATGTTTAACTAGGTGGTTTTGCCGAAAGTACACTTCTGCTCCCAAGCTAACAGTAAAATCGGAAAAAAAATAAAAAAACTGACTTTTTTGTGAAAAATGTTGTGTATGCTTGACAAATTTCATCACGAAATGACATTCGTGGAAGTCACGGCAAGAAAAACAAAATCAGTACTCCAAAATGCTTTTAAAATAGTATTTTTGGAGCATCATTTTTGTTTGTCACAACTTCCACTAATGTATTTTTATGATAACTTTTTGCAAGCACCCAAAACATTTGTCAAAGTTAGCACAAAAAATCAGAATGTTTTGAATTTTTAACTATTTTTCGATTTTATTGGTCATAAATGAGCATTTGAACTCGGGTGCATATACTCCACGTTTTTGCTTGCTTCATAGTGTGTAGTTCGCATTTGAACATCAGGCCCTTCTCTTTCTCTATGTGGATCGTTTGCTATATAATTTGCACCAGATGGTTATGATACATGCATATCCTACTCTACTGCTTTACGACCAAGAAACAAAAACACTCGCATCATGGCAATTCAAGGTAGATGTGCACATAAAAGGTTGAACTTCTCACGGACTGCTTGTCCACTTGGGTTATAAAAAACGGCGAGGATTGGAAGTCTCTGACTAATGCCCTCTCCGTGTGATGGAGCCGGAGGACACGTTTCATACTTTTTGGAGATGTCCTAGGGCGGTGGCGCTTTGGCATGCGATGGCGGCGGATCCCTGCTGCTACGACATTCCATCAGACGGGCATGGAGTGGCTCGCCCAAACTCTTTGTGACCTTCCTGACACGGAGAGGATGGAGCTCATGATGACCCTTTGCCGCTGCTGGCACGTATGCAATGAAATGACATATCATAAGCAACCGCCTCCGGTCGAAGCGTCAAAGAGGTTCCTTCTCAACTACATTGATTCACCCGTGGGCATCCAAAACAATCCGAGTGCGGACCCGGCGAAAGGCAAAAAAGTGGTTGATGCGGTGGCGCCGAGCAAGCCCTGTACCACATGCTCAGGTTGCGGACGAGTCGCGATCACGATGGACTACTCCGGCGGATGGGTGGACTAAACTCAACGTCGACAGATTGTTCTGCGCTTCCACCAGAATGATTCTGCAAGACAATTCGGGTAAGATCCAGTGGCGGTGCCAGGAATCCAATCGTGTATGGTCAACTGAATGTTGTGTAGTCATATGTATGCATTTGTTACATTTATTGACATGATTTGAACTTAATTTATTTTGTTTATGCAAAAAGATGTGTAGTCAATTGACTACCCAGCTGAAGTGTGGCTTTGCCACTGGTAAGATCATCTTCTCATCATGCAGAGAACTGAGGGCATGTGCAGAACCTTTAGAAGCCGAACTTCTATCCTGCATGGAGGGTGTGATCCTTGCCTTGCAGTGGACGCAGCTACATATTGAAGTGGAGACAGACTGCCTTGTTGCTCTTAAGATGATCACAACAGCAGACAGAGATCGATCCCGTTACTCCATGCTAGCTGGTATAACTGAATGTTGCACGGTTCGGTATGGCTAGGGTCGGGGCCAGGCGCTGTCCCCGATCTATGTAAGACTGAACATGCTCTTGAGTGATGAATAAAACTCCCTTCCATCCGCCAAAAAATACGGTGGAATTTCATCAGAATGCCACAAATTGACAGCGAGATAAGGCGCCAATACAGCAGCACATCTACAGTTCGAAACTCCTTTTCACCGGAATTTCATCAGAGAAAATCTGGTTCACCCTTCCCAGCTAGAAACAGGACTAATTCATCATTCAGTCAGACACACATCCACAGTTTCACGCTTTTGTCGGTGTGTGAAAAGACACAGCACAGTGACAGTAACATGGGAGATGTAATTTGTCCGAATGCGAATAAATTCAACAAATTAAGATGCCGACACAGCTGATGCTTTCTCATTGAGCACAACACACATACTTCATTCAAGTCCCATTCACCATGCATGTACCAACTGTTTCTTACAAGACTGAAAATACAACAGCAGTTTTGGCATGCCTGTAGCCAATTCCAATTCCAAACAGAATTTCCCCACTACTTATTCTAAGCTGCCATTCATCGGTGTTCGCCATTCTACATCTATCTCATACAACACAAACAACAGTTTACATCATCTACAATAGGGATCACCATCAACAACACATGCCTTACAGTTTGGGTACAGACTCACCTTACAGTTTCTTCTCTACTATACTACAACAAGCAAGCCACAGATGTGTGGCATCCTAAATCTGATCTGTTTCTCATGTGGCCGCACATCTCTTCCACCCACCAAACATCGAGCTGGCCGTCCCTCCACCTTGCCGCTCCGCAAACCGCGTCACGGCCTTCCGCACGGAGGCGTCCCATACCCTGACCATGGCCTCGATCGACCGGGGTTCCAGGAGACCGTCGAGGGCGTGCCGGAACGCCACGTCCGCCGAGGCAGAGATGGTGCTGGAATTCTTCATGCGGGTGGGTGAAGAAGCTATTGTCAAGCAGCAGGGGTGGATTTGGACATATTTGATGATCAACAGTACGAGATAGAAAAGCATGGTCAAGCTCAACTCACCTTGGCACCTCATCTCCTTCGTCATTTCTGAGCACCGGAGAGCTGCCCGGATAATCTGCTGGGACGTATAGCTTCACAGGCAAGACAAGACACTGCATCAATCAGTCAGAGAAATCAGTCAGTGCATTGGAGCGTAACGTGTAGCAAGTGTCTGAACTCTGAAATCCAAAGTACCATTTCAGATGTGGCAAAGAAAGATTTAAAGGTCGGCGAAAGCGACACGGCGCTGTAGGACAGTTTGATTGTTGTCCCGCCATCACAGCGGGAGATCCCATCCATACCACAATTATCAGATATGCTGACCACTGTGTCGATCAGTGTGTTGTTGATAGATTTGATTTCTTCCAACAGAGCCTCATTACTAGCATTCTGACAAGTGACAAGAATTGTTGAAAGGACATATGTTAGACTGTTATAAAGTGACGACAAACAGAAAATCAGAAAATTAAGCAGAATAGATGTGAGAACAGATAGCACTGATTTTTTGGAAACTTCAGAAATTAATGATCAATTGTCTTACCTGTGTTTCCTGCCTCTTAAAGTTTACCTCACTGTTTGATCCAGAGTCCAAGGCCCCACACTCAAATGACATGCAACTGCCATCCATGCTTCCCAGCGGCTGTGATTCAGATTGCGACTCCGTATGATTGAAAACTTGCTTCATTTTATTCACAGTATTAGATCCACCCTGCTGCTGCTGCTGCAAGGAGGATCTACAATCCAACATTGTGCCGATTTTCCCATGTGGTTCAATGTCGCTCATGCTGAGTAAAGACCTAATTGAATTAACAGAGCTGCGTAGAGCTCCAGGCAATGAAGATCTTATCTGAGGTTACATACAAAATAAGCACATAACTGTCAGTATAAGTGATTGCAACAATTCATGAACTATGACTGAGCTCAGCCATGTGGTACACTTACCGCATCCATTAGCCGGTCGATGGGCCTCTTAGTCACCGGTGTTCCGTCTCCACCTCGCGCCTGAACCTCTCCATGACCAGCTGCTATATCTGCCTGAAGTGGTGAGGCTGTTGCTATCGGTTCAGTAGGAGTGACTTGGTTAGAACCATTTGCTTTTGGTGGTGGTGCTGCTGCATTGTCATTCATCAAGAAGGCAGTTATGCTGTCAACGTCCATTGAGATCATGGGTATTGGAGCACAGGCTGACGCTGGTGCTACCACTGGATTTGCAAGTGGTGAGGGCCTCAAGGCCTCGAGCATACTGGAAGACCAAGACTGCAATGATCCTGGTGAAGAGAAAGGACTTTCTATTCCTGGCAAGTAGTTGCCATTGCTCTGTTGATGAGGTGTTGTTGTTCTAGCCATAGTTGTTTGCCTCGGCTGCAAAATGCTTGGATCAGCAGGTTGCTTTTGCTCTCTACTGCAAATGAAAAAGGGTAAACACATTAAATAAAGGGAGTAAGAGTAAGCAGAATTGCTAATGACGTTGGTTACCATACAATGTTAGGCAAAAAGTGAGTACTGTTTGAGCTATTAAGGATGACATGCTTTGTTGACAGTACCAGCTAGCTACACAATATATCTTAGCATTCTATTTTGATATTTCAAAACAAATACAAAGAATTGTAGCAAAAAGAAGAGCTGATCCTAATATCTCCAGATTTGTCCAAGCTATTGCTTTTACCTACCTTGTACCACCACTGATTGGGAATGCATTGCCAGTAAGATTGACGGTTGTACGCTGCTCATCATAGTTCTGCAACTGATATCCTGTATTCATGTTTGCATGGCAAGTTTTATTCCTCTCGAGAAGAGCCAGGAAATGATGTATGAGTTTTTCGTACTTGGGGAGGTCCACCTTCAAACCCTCGTGCACATCACTCTTCTGCAACGACATTAAATTCAGTATCATTCTGATCGATTTCTTGAAATCTGCTTTGCGTTTGTACAGATTAGCTTTTACTTCAGGTAGTGATGAGAATACTAAGAATACTAGGCCCGTAAGGGATTCATTTCTCTGGTTTTTTTGGAATTTTTTTACGGCCTCTAGAAAATTACACTTGTTGCTAGGGACCTGCAGAGGTAAAATTTGCACGTGAAGGTTGTGGTCTTGTCCGTTTTTTCTAGACCATTCTGACGTGGTAGTAAAAAAGAAAAGCGATGGTGGACACGTATCTTGGGGAACTGCCCACGCGTCATCAACGAAATCAAAAGCTGACCATGCTATTTCTCCGCTGCCCACCGCGTGTCCAGTTCTCTGGAGGACTCACTTCCCCCACCACCCGCAGCTAGCCCACCAGCCCACCGCATATTGCGCTATAAAAGGACAGGCTTACTTGCCTGGGTCTTCACTTCGCCTTTCTAGGTCATCCCTCCGTCACTGCGCCTGTCTTCCAAAATCTGGCGGCGCACACAACCACTTCGCCGCCGGCCTATGAGGCTATGACTCCCCGCACCACTGCCAGGCCCCCACCTCTCCACCCGCCCTCCTTCCATCTCCTCTCCGCATGGCCGATCTGTGAACAGAGCAAGCATCAATGGAGTAGGTTCCTCCTAATCTCTCCACTCCCCTCTTTCTTTTGGATCAAGCTCCCTCCACCTGGAGGAAGGGCTGAAGCCGGGACAATCCCGTCGTGCCTCAGAGCTTAGAGGCGTCACCGCTGGGGCGCGTCACCAGGCCACACGCCGAGGGAGCAGCGCGGTTACTGGCTGCACATTGGAGCCTTGGAGATTGCTGGCTCGCAGCAGGCTGGGGCTGCTGCACATGGAGATCAGATGGAGCAGAAGTCAGCGAGTACTTCAATCTCAAGTTCAAGCTCCCCGTCCAGCCCCATGTCTTTGTCTTCACATGAATCAATGAGTACCACCCAGCAATATCTTTGGTTCTTCTTTTCATATTTCTTAGTTTTGCCTGCTACTTGGTGCTTATTTTCGTATACATCACTTCTACAGCAGAGATATGACAACTTCTGCACTGGAAAATGCTGTAATTTCAGCCAAAAGCCCAAAATGGAGGAATCGTGTTCATGCAGAAAAAACTACTGTACTTTTTTTTGGTGTGTTCATTATCTTAAAAGCCTTTCTCACAATTGTTTCAAGATAGAATGTAAATGTAGCCGCAGCTAATTTGTGTGCATATGTTACACAAATAGCTTATATATAATCAGGTTTGTGGTAGGGACATATGATAATTTCTACTAGATTACGAATAGTAATCGCTTTCTTGCACGTCTTCTACTATATTTAGAGGTGGATGCAAATTTCTGCACAATCTTTGGCTTTCTTGATGTTGCACTGATTATGTAATCTGCGTATGGGTTGATAATGGGGTAGCTTCCATGGTGAATTTGTTCAAATACTAGAACAATATTGAATTATTTTTATAGATTCATAAGTGGAACTTCTTCTCTATTGGAATTGAATTTATCCAAGGAGGATCAATACCATCTTGTTTTTATTTCAGTTATAAAGCTCGGGCTGTCTAAACCTGAAAATTCAGTGAGGTGTGAATGTACAGTTCACTTTTATACTTCAACATGATCAGGTGTTGTTTTTTCCCCTCTCGCACTTATGAGATCATTAATTTGTACCCCCTCTTAAAGAAATATAAGTGTGTTTAGATTACTGTAATTACTATTCTTATTCTATCATATTCCGTATCAAGCCGATATCTCTTGTACAATAGTCGTTTTCGCAAATAAATATTTTATGGTATGATTTTTTTTCCATCAAGCTGATATCCCATTATGATATGTTTTTTAATTTGCTTTGCACATGCAGGATGCCTTTAATCAAAAGGATTGGTTTAGTCAACCCATAAGATTGATTCATTACCTTGGAGTTCCAGAGGGATTTTGTGTAGCATGTTCTTCAGGTACTACATGTTTATCTTGCTAAGAATGATTCAAGTATGGGTTTTCTAGACTACTTGTTGTATATCAGTGAATTATAAAGTTAGTTTTGAAAATGTATCTCTCTTTTGGCTTATTTGTATATTTGAATGTTTGAAAAAATAAAGTTAGTTCGTCAGATCCTTCTTTGTGTGGGTTTTGTAGGTTACTTGATGGTAGGAAAATGTTTGTGACTCCAAATTTAATAGGTTAAGAGGATAGTATCTTAATCATTTAGACTTTTGCTGCCTACGTAAGGGAAACATGAGTGTGTGGTTATGAGATTCATGCTAATAAATCATTATCAGAGATCTCTCATTTGCTTATCAACTGTTATCTTTTTATATATCTTATAATTGTCACACTACTTGGTTCCTTTCATTCCATCCTAATTTTAGAGATCTATCACTTGCTTTCACAATGTCACTGTCTTTTTAGACATCTCTTAATTTTTAGGCACTTCTTAGTTAATTCCTTTCCAAGTTAATATATGAGGTAGTTTTATGGGCTGTAGAGTATCTTGATTCTACTATTTCCCCCAGTTAACAGAAATAAGATAAATTGTACAATTTTTTGACTGAACTATGAATTTTTGTGATAGCTGTGGCCAGTTCTATACAGTATGAGCAAAGAGGAACGAGTGTTCATTTGAGTGTCGATGAAGTGAAAGTTGTCAGTTTAAGTTGGTTCCGAGGATTCAACCTGTTCTATTCTACTACAGTATGGGTTGTAGTGACATATGTGCATAATCTATAGTACATATTCTTCTTGATTTTTATGTGGCCCATGCTAATAGGCCATACAGTTTCTAGAGATGGAAAACGAATCATTAAACATTTCAGAGATTGTTGTCCCATCTTGTATAGAAATAACATAGATTGCTTCCGCAGCTGAGCGACTACTTCGTCGACCAAACACCCGGCTCCTGCTGCAAAGATGTCCACTGTCCAAGACCCGTGCGTATCATTATTCTCCCTGTCTGTGCCGCGCAATAGCAGTTTCCTGTAGCCCTGCCTCCATCAGCTTCTCCCTCTTCCTTGCAATCGGTGAGTTCAGCATACAAGCTTCAGATTGATAAGTTCCTATGTACAGCTGTTCTAGACAAACAATGACAACGGTGCCTTCTTGTTTTTAGTACTAACCAACATTTCAGAGAACAAAGTTATTGCTGTAAGTAGCTTTTCGAAAGTTCCTTTTCTGTTCTTTCCAGTCTTGGGTACATGAAAAAATGATGTCACAATCTGAAAAAGTTTGGCCATGTATGTCAATTCTAGCTGAGAATTACATATTATGATAGTATAATGAGATGCTTGTGTGCATTAGTTTACGGTTTTATGCCACGACTTTTTTTCCCTTTAATTGATCTAAATGCAATGGATGCGATGCACTATACGAAACTATCTGAATTTGCTCAGTGGGTACAGGACATCGGCAACAGCAATATCTGCACTCACTCTACAGTTGGCAAAACCGAATTTCAGCTCCGATCAAAGCTTCTACTTCATGGCTGCGCATTCTAAAAATTTAGTGATTTTGCCCACTAAAGATATAACATATCTGCTACTATTAATAGCATGTGATCCGTTTTTCTTCATTTATGCTAACCGTCAGAACTAATAAAATGCTTGATGATATTAGTGGATCTCTTTATAACCGTACATGTCTGGCTGTTCCAAGATAATCGTTAGCTGTGACATTATATCAACTGATTATCTTGGTGATGCTGATCCGCTCTATCCATCGGAATTCTTACATTCTGTAGTCGCAAAGAATTTTGTACATCATGAAATTGGTTTGGAAGTTAAAAAGTTATTGATGTATATAATAAAGGATAGTGTGTTTGTATTTTTCAGGTTGTCCAGAATGCGCTGGCCGCTGGGCGTAAGTACCAAGTGGCTGGCTGTTTAGTTAGATTACTGTGGCTGGTTGTTTAGTTAGGTTACTGACAACAATGTCCCATTCATTTGTGCGCATGATGATCGGCAAGATTCATGGACAGCGCAAATTAAGTAGTAGAGCAGAGCGTTTATCTTATCAATATGTATATCGTATGTGGAAAATTATAATACCCTTGAAGACCCATAAGGAAGAACTGACTCTGAATGCTATAGTCAACCGCGACAACCAGCTCTGAATGCTACGTTAAAAAGAATGAATAAGCCAACACGACCGGCAGGTCTAGTATCTGTTTCCACATTGGCGAAATGTATAAATTTCATCAACAAACAGAAAGTGCACAACTGTTAGATACATAATCAATCATCTGTCACATCCCCACAAAGACACAGTTGCACGGTACACTAGATTTTCAACAACTAAAAAATTTCAAACGAATTAGCGAGGCGTGGCACGACGGGCAATCTATATTGATATGTATCATATAGATCTCTTATGTAGTCGCTGGGCAATCTATATTGCTATGTATCATTTAGATCTCTTATGTAGATGAACCGTTTTCTTGTATGCACTACTTTGCCATGATCACCCAACTAAATGTACATGAACTACTTTGCCAAAAAAATCTTGGGACCACTCACCAAATATTAAAAATAGACCAAAATAGCTAATTAGTCCATGTGGCGCGGCGTGCCGCCGCGCACTACCCGCTAGTTGTTCCTGTATGGAGATGGAACCAAGGGTTTAAGCGACGTAGATGCGCAAAACCATCAATGAATGAAGAATCATCTCTAGGAAAAGGACAAGTGACCTCTGTTAGTGTTGGAAGAACGACTCTACGATCCAGTTCCAAAAACTGAGGAAAATAAGCATCTTTCCAAGACTTGATCTGCAATGAAATATTTCAGCAATACAATTATAGGCCAAGATGTACAAATTTAGCAAAACGACCATCAACAACTCATCAACTTGATTTAGTCATTCAGCTACGAAGGCTTCTGCATTAAACTACAAGGTCAGGTAAACAAAACATCCCATTACATGTACAAGAACCTTAATTACATTGGGTTTACTCAAGCAACTGTGCATAACTACCACATATTAGGAATATATTTATAGAAATAATAAAAGATAATACACATATATAAAATAGAGGATTCTCTCACCTTACAAAATATTTCCTCCTTGGGATCATATTCTCTAGCAGTCCCCATCATAGCTGAAATATCAGACATCGTAACTTGAGAAAAACAAACAAAATCAAAGGAAAACAATGATTGGAGTTTTATGGTATTCACATTTTTTTGTTAAATAAAGCAGCTTAAGTACCTGGAATCTGAGAGTTCTGACAAAACAAAGTACTTTGCTGAGCACCTGGAATCTGTTGTACAGGTGGAGTCATGGGCTCAGATGCCTTGAATGGTGGATGTAAGAGACCTGTTTGCCTAGCATCCTCCTGATTATTCCGTATTCTAATCTGACCAGGCTGCATCTTGGGGACATCAGCTTGTTGTGCTCCAAGCATTTGGTACCTTTGCGTGCCCATCAATTGTTGGTTAGCTCTCAAAATTTCATTCAACCTTGTAATCTGCGGCTGTCGCACTCCAATAGCACTATCATTTTGGCCAAGTAGGTGATTGTGCTGAGAATTTGGCCGAATAACTGGCTTTGACCCACTTGCTAGGCTGTAGCCAACAAAATTTGTAGCCTGCGGTTGCTTGGCAATGTATGGGTTCTCACTCTGACTGGCTCCTGACTGCATCGGCCATGGACCGGACTGGACACCCGGCCCTGCTCTAGTGATTCCCATGGGCTGAAAGTTTGGATAATGACCCTGAGCATGATGCTTTTTCTCAACCTCAATCTGCATGTTTGACGTGCAAGGGTGAAGCATGTGCTGGTTTGGCACTTGACCTGAAGTTTGAGGTGTCATAGACTGAGAAGTTGGCCTTCGACTAGCCACCATCACTGCCTCTGGCATTACAGAAGAACTGCCTCCATGTAAAGCCTGTTGCAATTGGCTTTGTAACTGCGCTCGACGTTGTAGCTCGTCAGTTTTATTTCTCAACACGGTGACCACCTTGTCACATATTTTTTTCACGTACTCTACCTGGACAAATGGAAAATTAAATTAAATCGTGACATCATGGCACAGAATCAAATTCATAATCTGAACGAAGTAAATAAAACATCTAATGCATAATTGCAACTTTGTAACATTGCTTCCTCACGTTGTCTAATTAACTAGCAGAAACATATAATTGGACAGCATGCCACATAATGGATAAAATTTAAAACGTGAGCAAGTAAAGAAAACATATAATGCTTCCTTGCGGTTTCCAAATAAAAAGAAAGGAGAGATCCGTGGGCAATAGGACCCAGGACATATTTTTATAGAATGGAGCCCACCAGGGAGAGGCGCCAGAAATCGGCTCCTGACGGGAGTCGAACCCTGGGCACAGGGTGCGCCGCTGCAACCCTTGCCACCAGGCTACTGCCTGGTTCTCCCCATTGCCCAATTAACTTGTAGAAAAACATGAAAAGGCCGATCAACTGGTGCAAGGAAGCACGAGCGGATAAACACACCTTACTGTTTGTCCCCCTGAATGCATCCTCCTCCAATCTTGCAATAAGTGTTTGGGCCTCCAGGGAATTGGGGGAATACTTGGGCTGAAAATAAGAGGCCAATTTGGTAGGGCTGAAAAAATTTAGAAGGAAATGGGGTTAGGATACATGAAAGCAAGATCTGGTATCATAATAGAACAATCTGATAACATGAGCTCAACTCGTATGCAACTTAGCAGAACAATTTAAAATTCCTGAATTACTCAAATTGTTCTCAAAATTGACCATATGAATACTAACAAACCGGCCAAATGGCAGTGCAGAACAGTTTCCATGTTGAAAAAGAAAAAAATAAGATAAATGAAAAAATTCGTTAAACAGCTGAGGCACATGGTGAAATGAAGCAATAAGATAAATGTATTTGACTGGAGCCGTAACCAACTAAACAACATTACCAAAAACATCATGTAACTGAAACCCTCCTGCCCCGAGATGAAACCCAAGCTGAGGTCCAGAACTACTGACGAATCCGGTGGCCACCCTACGCACCCGGCAGGTTCACCGAACACCCTAAGCCCTCGACCAATCAGTTGGATAATCGGCCAAGAAAGGCCTACAGATAATCGGCCAAGCGAGCGAAACCCTAAGCCCTCGACCAATCCCGTTCGATCCCATTCGATCCAACCACCCAGACCCGGATGGAGACCGAGAACCCCCCGGAAATTCGAGCTACCAAGTCATCATAAGCATGCCAAAATATTTTTCAAACAGTTAGGGCATATCGTGAAATGTAACAATAACAACAGCGTATTCAGCTGGAAGCCTAACCAACACTCCAGATCAGAACCAGTACTACCCACGAACCAATCTACATAGCCTCGTACAGAACCCATCTAGTCGATTCACCGAGCAATGAAAGCAGACGCAAGCAGAAACGGCTGCAGAAGTGCAGATAATCAG